CAGTCTATAAAATACGCGGCTCAGCCAGAAATCCGGTGATATTTATTATAGCGTTCAGGCGACGAGGAAATTTGCTCGGTCCAAGAAATCCGGTATTTCTAAGCACGGCAAATTATTCGGGGTCTGGGCAAGCCTCGTATTTACATGAAATACCGGATCTGTTTAGATTACCGTATTTACTTGGGCCTGGTATTTTGCCTCGTTGCAGTTGGTATGGGTGTAGAGACGCATGGTTTCACGGCCTGGCGCCCGGGTTTGGTGAACTCGCTAAATACCGGGATTCTTACTACGTGTTGGAGGACGCGGTAATTGCTATCGGCGGTGTTGTTGTCTTACCCTCATTGACATCTGCTATGTTAGTATTATCTCTTGGACACGCCTAAATGGGAGCATGTGCCCCAGAGCTACAGTTAAAACCTGCGTTATAATAATCTATGTGATTAAGAACCTGTTAGGCTAAGGGGGGTTTGTTTTTTTCATTTAGTGTTGAAGTTTTTAGCCCAAATTCATAAACAAGTTGTCTTTATTTGATAAAATTCACTTAAAAATTCACGAATCAACTAAACACGAAGCTGCTAGTTAAGCTGAGTAATATTGAGCCAAATCCCTCTGCCAATTTCACTCCAGATACGATAGGCTGTATTAAGTTCATATTAAAGGTATTAATAGCTATCGTGTACACGACGAACCTTAACTCGAGTTAAGCGTCTACACGGGGCCTTAACTCGAGTTAAGGGTAACTCGAGTTACGTTAACTCGAAGTTAGCTTAACCTCGCCGGTCGATCGAGGTTAAGCTAACTCGAGTTTACCTTAACTCGAGTTAAGGCCCGTGTAGACGCTTAACTCGAGTTAGCTTAACCTCACGATAAGCGGACAGGCACTCGTACGCATATGTACGTACACACGCACAGCACACACTCGATGCACGCACGCACGCACGGTACGTGGCACACGCATGCACGCCACGCGACCGCACGGCACGTGTACGTGCACACAGCACGGCACCGCACGTGATTACGTGCACACGCAGACTGCCACGGCACGCACGCACGCATACGTACACACGTACGTACACACGTACGCACGCACGCACGCACGCACGCACGCACGCACGCACGCACGCACGCACGCACGCACGTATCAGGGGCGGATTCAGACCGTATTTGCCGTATTGGGAAATACGGTCTAGATTTCAAAGTGCCCTTCGAAATTTACAAAAAATACAAAAAAATACAGAAAACAATTTGATGGAATTTGGCTATATTCTTTATTTGTTTTCTTTTTCTTCTGATTCATTGACGGAATTTCATCTGATTCTTGAAGGAAATCTAAATTTTACATGGTAACAAAACTATCTTTGATATCTGAAAAAGAAGGGAAGTGCTTGAATCATTCTGCATAATTGCTGGTATGAAAAGCGCAGGCAAAATGAAGCAGAAATAAAATTCCATATGGTTTTTAGCTATTGTTGCTCGACTAAATGTGTGCTCAAATGGTGCTCATTTTTGTGTCCAGGGACCCTTGAAATTTTGAAATTTCCTGGGGGAGGCCCCCCAGACCCCCCGCCATGTGCTTTGCGCCTTCCGGCGCTCACTGTGGGGTGGGGTGCCCTTTTTGGAGAATGTGCCCTTAAAATCTGGAAAAATACTGTCTAGCCTCAGCTCTGGATCCGCCCCTGCGTATACGTGCACACGCACGCACACACGCACACACGCGCACACGCACGCACGTTTACATACACACGCACGCACGCATGCATCGGTAATAATTAGTGATGTCACGATCATCGATTATACTCGATCATCGGTTGAACAGTGGCTCGAACCAAGCGCTTAGTGATGTCACGATCATCGATTATACTCGATCATCGGTTGAACAGTGGCTCGAACCAAGCGCTTGGTTATCAAAATCCATAATCGATTTCGTCAAAAAAAAAAAAAACATTTTTTTTTTTTTAATTTGAACAAGAAAACTTGGAAAAGTGATGAGAATCAGTACATGTATTATACACAGTAGTAAACAGTGCAAAACAAACAGTAAACAGGGCTAAACAAGCACATACATGCACACACGTACATGCACACAACGTTACGCACACGCAGGCATTCAAAACCCCGAGTAACCGATTGTAAAGGGCCGGACACACCAGGCGATGCCATCGCCCGACGCCATCGGCCGATGGCATCGGGCGATGCCATCGCCCGATGGCATCGCGCAGTCGTGGACACACCAGGCGATTTCATCGGGCGATGGCATCGGTTGCTCTGTGATTTGGCATCGAGTATCATTGCAACACCTATTGATTGGCTAGAATGATTGTATTTAATTCGGCGCCGTATTGTTATCGCTGGTCGCTGGACAACCAGGCGATGGCAGTCGGCGCGATAATATTCAAAACGTTTTGATCTGTGCGATGCCATCGGCGGCGATTGAGTGGACACACCAGGCGATTTTCACGCCGATGCCATCAGCCGATGGCATCGGCCGATGGCATCGACTGGTGTGTCCGGCCCTTAACCGATCATCGGTTACTTGGGTCCAACCGATGATCGATTACGAAATTACAACCGATTGACAACACTAGTAATAATGCACCGCTATCGGGTGTTGTCGTGTAGACGCTACATAATCGCTAACTCGAGTTAACGCTTAACTCGAGTTAGCTTAACTCGAGTTAAGGTTCGTCGTGTAGACGAGGCTAATGAGCTTTCAGTCGATAAACAGTTTTTCAAGAGATTGTTCCAGAAGACTGGCTGTCTCGTTACGGCAGATAGTTCTGATGATGATCAAATCAGACCACAAGCACTAGCGGCCTATGAGTTTTAGTCTTTTAGACCAAGTCAATTCTTCAATGTAAAAAAAAATACAGTACATTGCAGTTTCACTGCATAGTGATATACATTATGAAATTGAGCCTGCTCCCATACCTTATGACTGAGGAACCTGGCCAGGCATTATGTTTGCAGTGTTTTAAAACAACTTGCATAACAATTAGAGAGTTATTCATGTTGTTTGTTCACAGGGCGGGCGTGCGGTGTACTTGTGTGTTGCAGATGAGCAATTGAACGGCATTTACAGGTGATTATCGGCAATAATAGGCGAAATAGAGTAGAGAAACATTAAGACTTTGGTAGTAAATACATTTCGTCTTTACATTAATTTTTTTTATTGAGACGTTCCAAGTGCCTGTGGTTGCAGCGGTATACCGGTATTGCGATATTATCCAGTGGAAGTGATGCAAGTGTAACTGAAATGATATGGAAGATGGCCAAATATGGAGCACTGGCCGCGCATAGAAGAGAAGTGCGCGCGGCAGAGGGAAAAGAAAAGATAACATGGTGGATCCGTGCGCCATAATGCAAGCCAGCGCACAGATCCAAAGAAAAGACTGGGTGACAGAAAGTGTTTCCCCTCAGGGTGGCATGTACGAACCGCCGCAGTATATATAGTCTATTTTACGCAGCTGTCCCTTATTTCCCAGTCCGCTGCGCCTTGATGAACAGTACTAGTAGAGTCCACTAAGCATTTGCACTCGTTAACGATGTGTATTTCGGAGTAATTAAGGCTACGTGTGTTGAAATGTATATCGAGTTATAGCCACTGAACCATTTATTCTCAATAAACACCCCTCATTTTGGTCCTTACCCAAAATATATTTTCTGGGGCGGAAACCCTGGCTACGTACCTTCGGGTGCTGGTATGAGGTTCGGGCCAGCATCGACGAGGCTCTGCATGACCTCGTTCTCCTGCAGTAGCTCATAGGACTGCACATTGGCACACACATACACCTCCTGCTCCTGATCAGCCTCCATCGGCGTCTGGGTTTCCATCGCCGGCATATTGCTAAGATGAGTGAGAGCAACGTTGTAAGGACACTACGAGCTACGTGAATCGCAACTACAAGAAATGAAAGTGTCAATGACACTGTAGCTCACCTTGGGTGTAATAGAAGAGAGAGGGGGGATATATAAATGAAGAGTATATATGGGAGAACTCCCATTATATAGTGCTCATATCTCCCATTATATACTCTTGATAATGATATATATGCATAAGTTTTGATGCGAAAATAAATGTTTCAGATCTGAAAGTCTGAAATCTTGACGAGAGATGGCGCTACGCCTAAATGATCGCCATTTTGGTTTTCGAATATCGCGCAAATAAAAACAATAAAATATTCCAGTCAAATTACTGTAATGAAGAATCTAAAACACAATATTACACGTATATAGGTATGATTGTAGAGTTGCTAACCAGTTAGACAAAATACACGTAATAGGACGTTGTCATCTCTCCCATAGGAGTAAAAACTGTTTTGGGGCTAGCCTTACACATTCACATACCAAAATTTTACAAAATCAAATAAATTTAGATGACCATTTTCATTTTTGCCAAAAAGTGGGCGTGGCTCAAAAGTAGGTCGACTGGCGTGCTCCAAAAGAGGACGTTCAAACCTCTCCCATAGGAGTAACAACTATATATGTAATTTGAAACATGTTGGTCAAACTGTTCTTGAGTTATCGTTGACCGTAGGCAGACACAGAAATGCATAGTGAAATTGCCAAAATCTACCTAATTTGCATAATTAAAAAAAAAATTAAAAACAGGTGTGATATGTTTTGGGGCCAGTCCTCATTCATTCACATACCAGAAATGAGCAAAATCCATTGAACCTGAACTGACTTATGGCCATTTCCATTTTTGCCAAAAAGTGGACATGGCTCGAATGTAGGTCGACTGGCGTGCTCCAAAATAGAACGTTCAAACCTCTCCCATACGAGTAACAACTATATGCAATTTGAAACATGTGAGTCAAACTGTTCTTGAGTTATCGTTGACCGTAGCCAAATGTTGAAGAACGGACGCACGGACAGACGTACGACAGACGACACCCCATGGCAATAGCTCATCTTGACGATGTCAAGGCGAGCTAAAAACAGCCTACAAAAGGCATAGCTAAGATCGCTCACTTTGCACTAACTAACTGAATTTAAACATACTACAGTCAGACTTATGGTAACGGTCACTCAAGTGAAATTGGCATTTATAAACAGACGCCACTCTATAGAGATGGTTTTACTGTATGAGTGCCACTCGTGAAAAATGCCAAAAATAAAATTTATAAACAGCTGGCTTTTCTATAGAGGTGGTTTCATTGTATGACCACCATAAGTGAAATACCAAAAATGTCCTTAATAGAAAGTAACTAGCCCTTGCGGCTAGTAGATTTGCGGATCTACTAGCCGCCTTTACTATCTAATAACCCAGCTGCTGCAGGCGACTGGTCGAGTCGCGTAGGGTAGATGTGGGAGGGATTGTGGCCCCCCTGGGGTATTCCCCCAGAAAAATGTTTAAATGAGGAAGCCAAATTCTGCATTCTGAGCATATCTGGAGCGATAATTATGGTTAAAAAAAAGAAATTCTGACACATTTTCATTTTCGTTTCCATTTTAATATCTTCATCAACGCGTACTTCTTAAGCAGCAGAAAGGACTTCATGTGAAGTTGACCTAAGTCCCTGGAACTGACGAATGGTAGAGATGAAATTAAAACCGTGATTTACCTGCCATTATACAGTACAAATGCCCTAAAAATCGACTAGCCTGCCGTGCTAGCATTGATGGGACACTTGGTAAACTGAACTCAACTTTCACTAGCCCCGGGCTATCGGGTTAGCATTAGTATCGAACACTGCCATGCCTACAAGGAAAATGTCGTAAGTGTTCTCTATAGTATGCATGTCTCTGTTCTATTAGGGTGGTTTCGTTGTATAATCACAATCCAAGGGAAATTCCAAGTGCCCAATGCCATGATAAACAGGTGCTTATTTTGTCAAAGTGACCGATAACACAAGTTTGTCTGTATACATCCTTACAAAGATTGGGCAACAAATGTGTGTTGCCGACTGGTCTTGCGAGACAAGATTATTCCACGATTTAAAAAGTGTATTTTTGAGCATGCAAACAAACATTTCAAAATGTTCACGTAACAGAAACAGTGATTTAAAGTGAATTGTCACGAATTTTTTCAAATGTACTAGTTCAATTTTGCTGTATGTTTTATTGTGAAATGAAATTACAAACGTACATCTAAACACACCAAAAGACATCTAGCCGATTAGATTTTTTAAACTTGTTAATAAATGCACAAAAATCTAGACAATTTGATATATTGTATGCACATTAAATGTTTGTTATGAGCTGTTATCATGAGCATTCGCTTAAATCAAAAGGAAAAAATCAATGTAAAAGATTAACTATATTTTAAGCATAACGAAGGCTGAATTAAGCTGCAACTTCATTTTCATGGTTTAAATGTTTTTTTTAAATGAATACTGGTATCATTTACGGCGGTATAATAACTTCAGTGATTCACTATCACTATTCAACGCTATTACTATTCACCTTTGGTTATCTATAACAGCAATGGTTTCTGTAAGATTGGGTCTCTTTCCTTTCATTTGGTGCACATGTCTCCCGCCAGGAGTTCTGTCTTCTCTAACAGCTGAAGCAGAGAAATGGCACAGCAATTACTTACAGCCACAACAGGTACTCGCACGAGTACACGCACATAATTATATTATATAATACAATACATACCTATAATATTATACACAGTGTTGAGCAACCTTAAATATAAAAATATATAAGCATATATTATATATAAAAATGTTCCTGACGCGCGGTGTAAACACATCATCTGATGTCTTCATGTACAGAAAAATTTCCCTTGCTATAAATAGACGTGTTGTCGTTTCAGTCAATAATCTGTGCCGCCTCCGCCTGAACACCCACACGACGACGTTGTGTAGGTAGACACTGTGCGTTCATGCGCTGAAGCCCAGGTGACAATCATTGCACTGCAGCTACTGTATCTACTGCTACACACTTATAAACGCTCCTGCACACATTACCAGCGTTGCTGATGTTTATTAGGCCAGATATTTATTAGGCTAGATGTTTATTAGGCTAGATGTTTACTAGTAGCATTGATCAGTCGAGACGCGCGTGGTGGTCTCATAGTGAGGCACATGCACTGTCTAACATTGCTCCGACGTACGCATGTCCCTCTTTTATGAGACAAAATACATGTAAACCTTGCACGCATATATATCCAGCTGTCTCGCTGTTTGGCTACTTCATCTCGTGGCGTTTGCACTTGTAAAGATATCATATGTCTTCATACTGTTGCATCACGCGTAATGTGAGGGCGTTTTTCATAATTTACGAATGAAGTCAGTAATAATTTCATATATCTGGGCATATTAGTGTTTGGCCGACATTTTGCGAGGGGATTAAAACAGACCATGGAATGGATGCCATATATCAGTCATAAAATCTCAATTAAAACTTGTCTAAATCAAAGAGTCTATTGATGTCAACTTCCCTAGTTTGTTACCACGCCAGGATAGCAAGAAAGGCAACAGTTGAATATCTCATGCAGGATATATCAGCCTTGGGAAAACATTCAATCACAAAACCGATCAATGAATCTATCAATTTGTAACTGATGTTTGTCAAAACGAAGCCACGTTAAGGCAGAGAGGCATTGACCAATATTACAACCTGACATAATCTATCTATATATCTATACTATAATTTGGCTAATCTTGTGTGTGTGTGTGTGTGTGTGTGTGTGTGTTTGTTTGTGTTCGTCTTTCGCCTGTATTTGTCACTCAATCGCGACTAACTGAAGATATATTCAGAATCACCACGTCGTGGGA